AAGACATAGGAACACATCAAAGCAATTCAACATTAGAGGTACGGTTCGGTTGGACCTTACCAACTTTGATTTCAAGGGTTGAGCTGCTAAGTTACATACATTGGCCTGATCTTAGACACTAAAGACTTAAAGACACAGGCTGCACTTCGTTCCACCGCCCACTGTTCGCCGCACAGGTGGCTCAGCGCTTCAAGCTTGGCCGTAACACGCGGAGCGGGTTACTGAAGAGCTTGGCGGAGCGAGTGGGGAGCTTTCACCAGATGCAGAAGCAATGGGAGATCTTCGTGGAGACCATGAAGGTCACGGGGGAGAAGTGGAGGGGTTTTGGGGCTCAGCCTGGTTTTTAGGCCATTTCTGGAATCTGGGCAGCCCCTGGAATATGCGAAGTGCCGGTTCAATAGTAAGATTCCTGTTGTTTGTCCGTAAACGTGTCCGTACTGTAATGACAATGATCAACGTACTTTTGTTTGTTTAATCAATACCTTGCCGGCCATTTGGGAGAAGATTCCTTTTAGCAAGAGGCATGGGTGTTGCTGCTTGATCGAGTAGCCACTCCTTGAGCTATCAGTCCAAAGCCGTAAGAGTATACCACGAACTATAGAAAATTCACCCGCAGCCAAAGGAAGCATGTGCATGCTTCGCGGGCTTGTCGAGAGGTCAAGCATCATGAAGCGGTCGAGCAGTTGAGATTCCAAGAGAAGAGGTTTGGTGAGACGAATCAGAAGTACAGCGAGAGTGCCTTGGCATTGAACAAGTATGACCTTGCTTTGGGTTGAACTGGAACTTGTGGGCCATTAGCCACTAGTCACTAGTTGGGAAACAGATCCAAACGGTAGACTCAGAGTTCATGCTTGCCGCATGCTTGCATTGTTTAAGCTTCCCTCCCAGCTTATTGCAAATGATGCTGCAGTGAAATGATATGTTTGAATTCTCCGCCTTGGCGCTTGTCGCCACTCATGTCTCCAAACAGCCCTGCTGCCGAAGAAACAGCTGCTCTTCTTGGGTGAAAAGTATCCCCAGCTGTCGACCAGTCCCTGAGACGGCTCCCTGGCCCCGGTTCCAGTCGAGGTGTCGAGGCCTTTCACCGCTCCCTGGCTGCCGGGTGCCGGCGCCTGTGCGGTGAAGAGGAGGAGATGCGACAGAAGGACGGCCAATCAAAATCATCCCACATCCTCCAACAACTGAGAAAGCTGATGGAAGCTGAAAGCCATACCCTAAGCATCCCTGAGCCCTAAGCCATGAGTGGGTGGTGCTTTCCAAAGTGGGTGGTGCTGTGCAAGATCTTTTTAAGGTTTATTACTTTTGCCCATCCCTATGGCTCAACAGCAGGGACGTGTAGCTTCCCTAATTCACTGGCATATGTTGTGGGTGGTTGACAACTCGCCAGCCGGAGGAAGATGAGGATTTGGAGGAGGCGACCAAGGCCTGGTGTTAGCGGTATGGCTGTACCAGCTTGTTCGGGAGAAGACGGAGAACGATTATATCATTTTATTCCCACAGTGCTTTATGTTTGGGGGGTTGGGGAGTGGATTTTTTTTTATGTTGAGCAAGTCGAGATGAATAGATACATATATATATATATACACGATTATACACGTGTGTATATAATGGGTATAGTCAAGTTGTCAAGGGTCGAGGCAACACACCAGTTTAGCCGTACAGTCTCCATCAACCAATGCACCGAGGGTTTCTACAAGATCCTTGACATGGCTGGTTTCCTCACCCGCTGAGTTCTGAGTTCGTGTTGAGTTCGAGGTGAAGCGGCGGATCGAGGGAGAACAGCAGAAACTCCTGGACCTGGATCAGCAACAGGCGACGCTGGACGACGGATTGTCCAAGTGAACACTGCCTGTCGTGCGCAGGGACGTGTCGCCCATGATGTCGAGTTCCACCCGCTCAACTCTCCGCTTGATAGACGCAACAGTCCTACAGTAGGCGATGTGACTAGACTGCTACAAGCAGAGATTTGATGGATTGACTTCCGGACTTGGACCAAGAAAAGGTGATTAAGAATCAGCCGCGCGAGGGTTCTAGGCCCTAGGCTTTGGCGGCAGGCTTCATCATCGAATATGGGCAGGTTCCTACTTACTGGGCAATATCGATTCACGTGGATGCACGACCAACCACTTGGAGCGAACACATGCGAACATAATCCTCCAAAGTCCAGTGACCAACTCTGCCTTAAGTGCTTCCACCCCACATGCTTGGACTTGGACTCGGAATCCTGGGGCTTCGATTGCCTCTTCCATGCTCAGCGTGTGTCAGAGGCGCACTTCCAGACCTCCTTGGACCTCGCACCTCGGCGGGCGGCTTTCGGTGGATGTCGGGGTGGCGCCACGTCATCATCACACAGCGCACGTGGTGCTGCAATCCATGAAACTCGATGTGTCTTGTTGGTGTTGGTGTTGGTGTGTGTGATTCGATGCAATGCAGCGACCCAGCGATCCAGGTGAGGAGTAAATACAACGACCTCATGGCCGAGGACCTGCGTGTGGTGCCACAGATGGAGACCAGGGTCAAGGATTAGATTGCTTGGGCGATGCGGTCGACACTCCCTTTGTGGATCTATATGTTATGCAATCTATGTACTAACTACTACTGTATCTCTATCCCCATGTATTGTGTCAGTCCAACTTGCCTACTCCATTCTAGACACAAATTTGTTGCAGGCACCTTCCTGCTTGACACAGTCGGGAAGTGGGGTCCATGATTGTCTCTCCTGAAAACCAGGTCAGGCTCACTTTGACTCACACTCTGACTCACTCACTAACATGGAAGTGGACTCAGTGGACAACAGAAAAATGAAACCTGAGAAGACCATTGTCCTTTTACACACAGGAAGTTCACTTCTATGTTCCTGGGCAATTCCCTGCCGAGGCCTCCGAGAGGAGCTTCAGGGGCTCCGGGAGCGGCACTTGACGCGGCAGCAGGAAGCGCTGAAAGCGCGGAGGCAGGAGCCAAACGGGTGTGGAAGGCGTGCAGAGGTGGTGTAAAATCAACTCCTCACCCGTAACAACTGGCAAGGGAACAGAAGTCTTCAGTCTTCATGCATCATATATATATATATATACGGGTACTTATATAATATTATATATAGATGTATTTATATACCAGCACCACGGAAAGGGTGTCCATTAATAGCCCTGTAGAGGTCAAGGGCCAAGGGGTGTCATAAACCACCCTTTCCGTGGTCCTGGTATACACTGCGCCTTCGGCGGCGCCGCCTTCATCCGGAAACGGCTCGGCTTCGTTGAGGCTGACGGATGACTTGGCCGAGCTGGCCACGCTCAAGGCGCATTTGGCCAATGTGCAGCGGGCCTCAAGAGACTTGGGTGAGGATGGGAAGGGTTGGTATGGCTGTGTCGTTGTTGGATTCGGTGTACCCGAAGCCACAGTGGTCGCTTCGAGATATAGCCACGTTGGTGCCTTTTGTTGTGGAACCACTGCATTGGTTGAGCTGTTTCTTCTTTGTGTTTGCACTGGATGAACAACCTTCTTTGGATCTCTTACAATCATAGTTTCACTGCAATTCAGCAGCTCACCACTGGTTTGGAGAGAGGGAAGGAGGGAGGGAGGGAGGTAGGGAGGGAGGGAGGTAGGGAGGGAGGGAGAGTTGCAGGGACTGTCGGACCTTCTCTCCGTACAGGCGTACATATAGATAGATGTTTGGAACACAGTGCCTGGTAGTTGATGTTGCTTCAGTTTTCGGTTTGCCAAACATGTTGCAGATACAGGAGCTCAACTGGTAGTGAGTAGTGAGTGAACTGACAGTGATAATTGTGCGCATTGCGGGACTTTGTTCATTCCTATGTTGCACGTCGTCATGTCGATCATGTATGCAGGCCAAATCGATGAAGGTGCCGATGCTTTGTATTTGTCCTGCCTTTCGTGTTGTCCGCAACTTCGACGTGCATTTGATTCGAACAAGTCAGGAAGCGAGCAGAAGCACGCTACGAAGTTGGAGGACTATGTTCGAAGAGTGGCCAGTCAAGATGCAAAGACCCTGCGCACTGGTGGCGGGTTCATCCTGAACAGCTTGGCCAAAGTTGAAGCACAAGCCTTCCTGAGGGAGTTGAGAATTTGAGAGCTAAATTGGCTTTCAATTCTTGACTTGTGCACGCCAAATGCAAAACCAGAGCTTCCTCAAACGACATGCTTCCACTGACACGATCTGACACAGCTGCAAAACCCAAGAGGTTCAACCTCTTGGATTGCATGCAGACAAAACAATACCCCATCACCAAGCAGTCAATCATGGGTCACTGGCCACAAGAGAGAGCTTCAATGAAGGAAGAAGGGATGGAACATGATGGAAACCTGTTTCTACTAGCTTCTTGTCACTACTAGTAAGGCACTTGTTCCTACTAGCTTCTTGTTACCCTATGTAAGGACTTCACCAGATATCCCTCCTTTTTGGAATAGATGACTTGTGGCTTTGGGCGGACTTGTCAAGCACATGTGGTGCGTCCAATCAGGCATGTCTTGAAAATAGAATGACAATGATCAAACACCAATATAAAGTAGTTTGAAGTGGCTAGTCTTATAAAAATATGTCATATGGTAAGGCCAAGGACGGCCTGCAAATAAAGCTTAACCAAATCAAATAAGTCAAATGGAAAAGTCAAAGTCAAAATTTGAAAACAACTCGACAAAACCACATAAAAAGTGAAATATAATTTCAAAAACGTCGGCTTTGGTCCAATTGACTTGTTTGTGACTTTCTGAAACTTTTTGATGATTTTTTGACTTGACTTTTGGCACTGACTACTATATGTTGACTTTTTTTATTAGTCTTGAAAGCAGCCTCTCTCCAATGAAATATGTTTATCAGGCTAGTGTATTGAGGCGCCATGTTTGCAGATGTTTGCAGGACTTTGTCGACCGATCCAGGTGGCACGAAAATGTCCGGATCAGTCACCAGATGTCACCAGCGGATTTGCCTCCCAAGGGCCACGATGTAACAAGCCCTGCGTTGCTCGTCACATGTGTCGCTCTTTGAGGTCGAGCTGGAACGGCTTCAGCAGCAGATCCGCTCGACGAAGGTTCCGAAGGCTTCGGGACCGGCGTGGACCGGCGTCCCGACATGAAGCGTGGGAAGATGCGGGCGTAGCACAGCTATTGACAGGTGCCACGCTAGTAGTAACAGGTACAGCTATTGACAGGATACTGGAATTCGAAGTCCTCCCGACAAACGGTGGATCTCGGCCGAGCATGTCCGTTGACCGCTGCAATACCATAAGTCAACCTCCTCCGCGACAGGAGGCGGTTCATGGACCTGAAACGGTTGTGAGCCTGGCAAGCTGCTGAGAGACGGCGTGCGAAACCCGCGTGGTACATGGCCTGGAGCCAGCTGGGTGGTGAGTGGACTGGGAGTAGCTGGCTGTTACCCTACTTAGGTGCCAGAGATTTCCCGAAAACGATGAACATGAGGTTGTCGTGAGCCATGCGGTTATGGAACAGCGGCCCTAGGCCATGCAGGTGGACACGACTGCGCTCAGCCATTTTCAGGTTGCAGATGAGCGGCGCTGGCTCGCCAAGCACCAAGAGTTTGTTGAAGGCATGCGATGATGGGCGAATGCTTTCCAACCACCTGCAGCTGAAATCCAACACTCCTCTGGGTTGATTAGTGGCCTGAACCTCCGCTGCACTGCTATGAATTCTTGCATGGAGTTGGAACATTTTGGGACGCTGGGCTTGTGGCGGATGGGTAGCAACACGTGCGAATGTACGTCAGGATGCTAAGTTGCTGTTACGTTGCTAAGTTTCGTACTTCGCACACCAATGTGCATCTTATTGTGCTCATGGACCTGCAGAAAGTGGAAACTGTGGCACTTGCAGCCAAGCGGCCAGGTTGGGGCTTTGGCTGGCGGTCCGGCCACGAGCTGAGTGCGGAGCGGCGCCTGAGCTGGTGTGCCAGATTTGTCAGAGCTTGTTGCGATGTGGCGTGATGACGCTGCATCATATGGCCGATGAGGTTTTTGATGGTTTTTGCATGTTTTTGCAAGTGGGTCGGTAATGCGGTGCCTTTCGTTGCTGATTGTTGCTGAGGTGTGCTCGAGCACGAAGTGGTGCCTGACTGATCTCCGACCTTTAGCATGTCCAAGTTGTTTGCATGTTGATGCCAAGGTTGTCACGCATGTGCCCAACATTCTCGGGACCTGTTTGTCTCCAAAAGATTTGAAAGGTGCCTGGAGCCCCTGAGTGCCGTTTGCAGTGCTTTTGCTTCATGTGGCAGAAATCCACATCCCCAAAACCAGTTTACATGAATTTACCAATGCAGAGTTTAGACTTACACTCTCGGTTTGTTTGAAAGGATTTGTTTAATTACATTTTTGCATTGAAATGCAATCTAACTGCACGATTTCTGAGGTTTTGTCCTCGGTTGAAGCAACTCATGTGGGAGGTAAACATTCCGTGCCGCCAGTCATGCTGCACCAGACCTAGTGGGGGGGGGCAGGGCAATGCAACAAATCCATTGCAGGACGAACAGCTCCAGACACAGGAAGTGTTTGTTGATGAAGTATTTCAGGCATATTTTGGCATTCAAAGCTTGCCGCCGTGCGATCAAATTTGGCGATCCGTTGTCTGAGGCTCGTCCGTGAAATGTGATCCCTGTGCTAATTTTGTGCATAATTCCATCAATTTTGTCTATGAATTGTTGTGTATTTGACATGGCGAGTGCAGGGTTGTTTGATGTTGTTTGGGTCTCAGATACCCTTCCAGAAAAATCTGAAGTTTGCCTTTCATTGGATCAGCCAAATAATACAATACTTCAAATTTTAAGTCCATGGATTCGACTGGCACTTGGCAGGTTCAAATGGACAAACTTTTGAGGGAACTCAGCAAGTGTGACTTCCCTTTTCAGTGAGGCACTCAGGAAGTACGGTAAGTTGGATCGATGGTAAAGAAGTAGGTGAACTGAACTATATGTTGAACTGTTGAGTTGAGTTGTTTCTGTCCGTCGGTTTTTGAGTGACATGCAACAAGTGGTATTTGTTTGGTGGTATATTTGCATGTATTTGTTCTGGTAATGCGTTCGATGAACTTGAATTTGGCCAGTGTCGGAGAGTCAGTCAAGAATGAACCGTCCTTTGTTTGGGTGTTATTTTTAAGACCTGCCTTTGTGAAATAAGGTGAAACATATTGTTGCTGTGATGGCACAGGCATGTGAATTGACGCAAACAATTTCAGAACAAACCCCTTTGTTGTAGAATGTTGTAGATATTGTCTCGTTGAATGAGCTGAAGCTACTTTGACTGAGTTCGCCTATAGAGTTAGTCCCTCACTCAAAACTTGACTAGTCAGAGCCTGCACCGATACCCCTCAGGTGTGCGCATGGGCGGCCCACGGTGTACCCTGTCGCCAGCTTGCAGCAGCTGGAATTCCGAAGTCGCCTGGCTCGGACCACTCGCGCCCGCGCGCCGCATGGAGTGCTGACCCAGGGGGTTCCCGGGTGTGGAGCGTGCGTTGTGGACGAATGGGCATGGCCTGAGCAGCGACAGCTGGAGCTGATGGTGGTTCCAGCCAGCCCTTTCCCATCCGACAGCTGGTTCGATGACTCCCATTTGGGAGCTTGACACCCTGCACCGAAAGATGATCTTCAGAGAGGAACTGCGCAGTGCACACGTTTTACGCTTTGTTAACACACTTGAGGAATTCAGAATTGGGACACTTTGGGTCAAGCTAGTACCCAAGAAAAGCCAGAGAAGGTGGTATTGCTTCTGTTGGCCATCAGACTACGGGGTTGCAGCTTGCATATGTGTCACCCACCGCCGAGGCCAAGTGAAGCGCATCCCTGTGGCAGGTGGGACGGGATGCGGATGGATGCAAGGACGCATGGGATGATAGAACAAGAGACATTTCTTCCTTGAATTTTAACCAGCTATCTAATACAAGACCCGAGATAATTTTGTTGTTACGACCGAGTAAAGGACCGATGTGGACCGTGTTTGTTCCAAAGGGCCCTGTAAGACGGAGCATGTTCCATGTTACAAGACCAGGAAAAAAATATATAAAAGCACAGGTTGATACCGGAAAAGTACAGGGGCAGGAGCTTGGGCTCAGAATGGGACTCTTTGCGAGGAACAGATGGGTGGTGAAAACTAGTGACACCTTTGTGTGCTATGTGGGTTGTGTTAGGCTTGCAAGTGGTTGCCTAGCCTAGCATGCAACAGCCAGTATTTACCGATGCTGTTGGTGGAGACTGGACTTCACCGACCCCCAGCAGTTATGTTGTTCTCCAACATTCAACACTAATCAGTAATCTATATATACTATAAAATCACTATATAGAGTAGGAAAACGATGGAACAAGTTAATGTGGCCCTCAGATTTATAAACCCCCCTAGAATTATGTCTTTTTTTTTCCCTGCACTGATTTATAAAGGCCCCTAGAATAATGTTTTTTTTTTTTTGGAGGGGTAGTTGTAGTGGATTTTTTTTTATTGTTATAGTTTACTTTTTCCCTTTTGAATTTGCTGGGATTTGCTTATCTTACAGGCTTTTGGATTGAGATTTCTATTAAACATTTGGAGATTTCCATTGAGATTTGATTCTTTTGGAGGCTTTTGGATGGAGATTTCTATTCAAAAATTTGAGATGTCCATTGAGATTTGATGCTTTTGGAGGCTTTTGGATGGAGATTTCTATTAAACAATTTGGAGATTTTCATCGAGATTTGATGCTTTTGGAGGCTTTTGGATGGAGATTTCTATTGAACATTTGGAGATTCTATTTTCCTAAGCTCTTTAGTTGTGAAGCTTTCCAAAAGTTTCCAAAAGTCAGTGCGCACTTTCTTTATAAAATCCCTTATTTAAAAGTATTAAAAAAACAAAAAAATCATTCAAGCAAAGGGGGTAGTCCAGCAAGCAGCTTTCTGACATTATTTAGGGGGGGCCTCTAGAATAATGTCTAGAGATTTGAGGCTTTAAATCTTTTTTCCTTTTCTTTGCCTTTTGATTTGCATTCAAGCAAAGGGGGTAGTCCAGCAAGCAGCTTTCTGACATTATTTAGGGGGGGGCCCTAGAATAATG